TATCTGCAAGGACATTTGTACGGTCGGTCGATTTTCAGGCGTATCTTAACGGCGAGCGGAGGATCGGTATCCGCTATAACACGAGAGCGTACGTGCGGGGTGTCTAGCTGAAAAATTGCAAGGCGGACGTTGACCACGTGCGCTCAATGGGTTCGTGCACTTTAAAGTGCCGGTAGATCGCACCCGGTATCGTTGCGCATTCGTGCGGTCCGTTGGGTCCGCGCGTATCGGAATATCAGGGATGCACGTTACGTAGTAATGTCGGAAACGGATAATTCCGTAGATTAGAGCGCGTTTAAATGTGGGGCTTATGTGCCCTTTAAACCGCGGCATCCTCGTAACACGTCCGGTGCAGCGCGATTAATTATCGTCGAGATGAGAAGCTTCGTCATAAAAAGAGAAAACATTTCGTGCGCTAAATTGAAACTTAAAGTTTACGGGAAAAGTAAATCAAATTGATTTTTAAGTGTAAATTATTTCAAAATTTTTTACATTTTTTATATAGAAAAAAAAATTGATTACGTCTAACATTTATCTCTTATCAATTTTATTGTAATAAAATAATTATATTAAGAAATTTCGTAATTAAATAAAATGATTTTTGGATACGTATTTTAACTTATGTATTCTGATTGTAAGAAAGATGCTTTTAATTTGATAACGAGATACCTGATGTCTCGATAATATCTAATATCATAGCGTGGTCGAAATATAAGACACGCCTATGAATTTATGCCAATTCTCTTTGCAGCATTAAATACGTTCGGTGGATGTAATATCGCGATTAGATATCGGTAAAAGTGAGAGGAATGCTGCGATAATTGGAAAGATTACACCGCGAACATCCAATGCGTTATGCATTTTAGTAGCGTGGCCGAGACCTTAGCTTAGCGACGAATTATCGGCTATTTGTTCTAATATCCGTTGCACGACTTTTAGATAATTTAAATAGTTCGGTATCTAAGTTTCTCTTTCTCTCTCGAGAACTTGAAAATTTTGTTCCTCGGTAATTTAAGCTTTAGCAACTTGAACGCTCAAGAACGTAAGAACTTGAGGCTAAAAAAATCTTGAAAATTTAGAGAAAAAAGCGGATGTTTTTAAAATTTTTTAAAGTCGGAAGTTTATGATAGCTTAAGAATGTAATAATTTCACAGCTTAAAAATTTAAAAATAACGAAGTTTTTAAACTTGAAACATAAATATTTGGAAATTGAGACTTTATATAAAATACACACACACAAGTGAAAGAATAATTTCTTCACTGGTGTGTATGTGTATTTTATATAAAATCTCAATTTCCAAATATTTATGTTTCAAGTTTAAAAACTCCGTTATTTTTATCGTATATAAAAAAAAAAATTGTAATCGTTAATAGCTTTCGAATTTACTGAGGTTAGACGTGACTGATAACCGAGGCAATCTGGTAACAAAAATGTCGAGATGAAAACGATATATTGCTCGTAAATGTTGTACTCATGATAAACAGCGTGTTGTCGAGGATTGATTATTCCTGGCGTATGCCGAGCTGTTTCGTGGAGATTTACCGACAGTAAAGGGGATCGACCTAAAAAATCTCGTTCACAATGGAGCCTCACATATCGGACGTGATATATTGGTACAGAAGAATTAGATAAGAATGTTCGTTGACAGCGTATTTAACGATCCGCTTCTTCTACACGGAATCATGTCGACTTCCTGGACCACTGCCACACTGATCCACATCGATATCAATCTTCCTAGATCCTCCTCGCCAACAGCATTCCCACCATAATTTTCTTGATAAATTAATAGAATTCGAAATATTCATATTCATTTATAGTAATAAAAATTTCCAGAAAATTCAAGTTTGTAAATATAAAAATATATTGCCAGGTATTTTTTTGAGCGTTTAAAATATAATTTTATGCGCATACAAATCACCAACATCGCTTCCTGTTATAGATTACCTATTTTATCTGTATGGTAACGGTGCATGCATTCTTACACGTTTTATATACAAGAGTCCTTAAATGGACAAGCATTGTTTGCTAGCGACTCATGTAGTATCGGTTAATGGTGCAATGCAATATCGCGAATAGAGATAATTGAGGTATTAATAATTATATAAGTTATAGCAAATACACATATGTAAAAATTAAATGTAGAAAGACATCGAATCTAAAAATCAATATTTAAAAAAATTTTTTTAATGCTCTCGAAAAATAATAAATTATAAAATCTTGAAAAATAAGTTTTTAATTGCCTAAATATAAATATGTAAAACGTAAATCCAAAAATTAAAAGATCTAAAAATCGGAGAATTCAGAGATTTAATAATTTAAAAATTTAACAAAATTTAGAAATAAAGGGAATTTAATGAAGGATTTAATGAAGGACCAAATGAATCGTATAATTCGAAAGATACGCATCTAGCGTGCCATTCTGTGGATCGCGGCCTTTTAAGCGACAGGTGCAAACATTTGGGGAGCAGCGCAAAAAAGGAAGCCGGTAATTGTGAGCCCTGGGTAGAAAAACCAGTTTGCTAAAAACAACCCGGGCCTGATCGAGTCTCGTTGCGGGGCTACCGAACAACCAACGGGTGTCGGTGTAGTAACGTGCGTGTAAGCAGCTCGTGAGAAGCGCGGCTTTTGAAAATCTGCTTTAAAATGCCTTTTAAAACTTCCATCCCATCAAGATTATGTGACTGTCCAGAAAAAAAAACTTTTAAATTTGAAACATTTTGATTTCCATTGAGAAATAAAACAATTATTCCACGGTATAAATTACGTTATTAAAAAAAAAGAGATGGATTTTATTACACACACATATTATTTATACGTTTCTCCGATATAATATTATAGTAAAATATAAATTAACGAATAATAAAATTATAACGTAATAATAAAATTATACGTAATAATAAAATTATTCCATATTGAAAATCTGCTCTTTAGTACGATGTACATACGCGTTTAACGTAATAAACGCATGCGACCTATCTACCACGTTGAAAAGGTATCAGAGAGAATCGCAATACTTAAACTTATGCAGGAAATACTTTTTATGAATGAACTTTCTCACTACTTATCGAGGAGGGAAGAATACAGTTAAATGCCAAAACCGAAGCCGGAGTGGGATTCGTGAAAACAAATTGCTATTTATTCTCTCGCTGCGTAATATATTCGTACTATTATCAAATTACAAGGCAAGTATCGTTTTAAGAATGCATTTTATCTTCTTGCATAATCCGAGCGTTGGAAACTTAAAACCTGAAGAATTTTGAATTTTTCGAAATTTAGATCTGGCAAATTAGAACTTTAGAATTTTTAAAATTTTATATTTTCTAAATTAAAAAAAAGCATTGCAACTTTAAATTTTTAAAGTCTTAAAATGTGAAAAAAATTGATTAAGATTTTAAAAGTTCGACTGGCCATGCGAGAGCTTGGAAATTTGGAAATTCTCAAGCTTAAAAACTTTATGGCTTTAAAGTTTTAAGACATATATAAAGCTTGAAATTTGTAGAACTTGAATAGGAAATTTTTCAAAGGTCAAAAGACAAGATCAATTTATCATTGCGCAAGTTTTCACTGTTTACGTTCGAGTTTAGCAACGGTGATTCCTCGAAAAAGGAGAACAATACCTCATCCTACATGCTATAAGGCGACCTCGCTGGAATTTCAACGAGCATTATAACCGCGACAGGTGAAGCCACGTTCTGTTCGTGCAGTTGCGGTCGTAGTCGCCTAGATTCGAATTTAAAAACGATCGTTATTCAATTCAAATATACTAACGGGTCAGCTCGCAGGACTTCCGCCTCGGCTCAACGTTCGTTACTGTATTCTAGAGGAATAGGGTTAGGAAAGGTCAAGTCAGGTAAATCTGAAACCGATCATCCGCGGAAGAAGATTCTAAGTTAAATGTCATTTTTATCGGACAAAATATGTATGAAAAGTACGTGTCCTCAAAGTTTCTAGTATATATTAAAAAGTATAAGATATTACATATATTGTATAAATATTGCATAAATATCAACAGATATTTCAATATGAGATACATCTCATATTTAAATATTTTATATATATTATACAAATTGACACAAAAAAAAATTATTACTATCGCTTATTATCATTAAATTTAGTAATATTTATAAATCGACGATTTAATCTAAATAAATTTAATAAATTAGATTTAAAAGAATTTAATAAATTAAATTTATTTAGATTAAATAGTCGATTTTTGCTGGTTATAGAAAGATATGTCAAAGATTCAAAGTCGATTTACGATAATATTAGAATATCGCCTTCGCAATTCACGAGTCACTCGTTATTTCGCGAACGTATGATGGACGTGAGCCTTAAGGGCTGCGAAGCCCTACGGGGGCCTCCGTTGAAAGAAGATATATTTAGACCGGGCCTTTGAAAAATCCTGCTTCGGAACCTGCGTCGCGAGGATTCGTCTCGAGAGAGCACGCAGGATCTCTTTTGCAGACCGCAAAAATAAAATGGCTTTCGAAAAGGATACAGATTTGCACAAGATACCGTTGCACCGATGCATTATTTATTGCCCTCGCCACGAGAGTGAGTGCATGCAAAGGAACATAATTTAGCTAAGTGAATCAATCTGTCAAATCAACTTGCTATTGTCCGTGAAAATGTGACGAAAAAATGAAAATCTTTATAATCTCAAGTATTGTAAGATTACTTTACAATAAATTCTTTAACAAGAAACTCTAATAATATTTTTATACTTTTAAATTAATTTTTATCCGAGTGAGAAAAATTTTAAAAGTCTAAAAAATAATTTCTTTAAAATTTGTTCCTCACATTATATTATATTAAAAAATATTTAAATATTTAGATGATTTTATTATCTGATGGAATGTTTTATTCTTTAATAAAATAAAATCATATAATAGATATTTTTCAAAGAAATTATTTTATTATAAATATTCAATATATATTTATTAAGATTTCATTTGAGTCACTAGACGTAAATGATAAATTGATCATTATAGAAACTTACCTCGCACCTGGAAGTATCAAGTATTTCGACTTCCGTCGTAACATTGTCGATAGTAACACTGTGTCGGTAGAGGAAATCTGCAACAAATAACAATTTCGAACATGATATTCTCTTTAATCAAATTACTATCGTTGAAAGCAACAAGACTCGCGAAATAAATCGAAAACAGCGACAATCTCTCTTAATCGGCGTTATTTATAGACGGTACTTCGATCTCCTCTGGAAAAGTTTGAGCGATATTTTCCCAAGAATAGAAAACGCGGCTAATGCGCGAAAGTGCCGCAGCAGTTAATACAACGACAATTCTAATTAGTTACGCTGACAAATCGCTATGTCATTACTATCACTGACAATGACATGTGGCTTTTGCGATCAAAAAAATTCGTGCTTTGAGACTGTCAACTGTCACGCAATTTTGGATTGTTTTACGTTCGACTTATTTACATATATAATTTGGTTATATATATATATATATATATTTGTTATCTTGTGTATTTTTTTTTATTTTAAATGCTTAGATGATTTGAACAGATAATTGAGTTTTCAAATTTGTACATATTTTTTTCTAGAACTTTATTCTTTAAATATTTAGATTTCTAGAGGAAGAGAAAGAAATTTTTCGCAATGTATTTGTCGCTTCTTATATTTCTAAAATTTTTCGATTCTTAGCTCACGCCTTTGATAGGACGAGCGAAAAAGGGAAAGCTCGTACTCGAAGCTGATTAGAACGCTCGAGGAGCACGTGCACCAAGAGGAAGAAGAAGAAGAAGAAGAAGAAAAAGAAGGATAGAAGACGCGGAAGCACGTTGAACACAGTAGCCCTAACAGGGTAAACGTAATAAATAAACGATAAATAAACTCATAAACACCTCGTAGTGTTGGCAGCGAAGAGATGGAGAAGCGCAGAAACAAGCAAATAAGGATGCTCGTTATATTAGCGATCGTTACGCTCGAGAAAGTTTTATTGCCGGACAATGTTGATGGAGAAACGATTTGACCAAGCGTTGCGACAGAAAATTCATTGCATCCTTTCGTGAAAGAAACATCGACGCGTGCGAAAAAAAAGGCTTGCAGGACCGTGAGATATAATTTGAACTTTTGAGTATGAAACGCGCGAAGATTTCTTTCCACGCTTGTAGAAAGAAATCGGGCGATCTAAGAGATAATCTATAAAATGGAATTTAACGAATGGATATTTTGATAATAAAGCCTAGATGCAAGAATCTAGAAATCTAATAATAAATACAAATTTGCATATCGGATCATATATAAAGTTATATCTTTGATGAGAAATCATTGATAAGAGTGCAAAATTTAATCTCTAAAAAATTTAAAGTGCAAAAAGATACGAAAACTGACAAAAAAACAAAAAAAAAAGGGAAAAGATTGTGACACACTTTCGTCGAATATGTGTGTAACTGGAGATATAACTGTCATCGATCGCGCGGATTTGACTTTTACTAGAGATCCATCTCCGCTACGTGATCTATCATCGATCTATCGGGATGCACGATGCAATCTTCTCCGCGCGCGGACAAAACGTTCCCATCCATGCGCGCGAGTGGATCGACAATGCAACGAGATTCGCTTTCTAAAATCATTGCCTAGAATTATTCCACGCAAGAAGAGATTTGCATTGTTAATCGAGATCGAAATAATAACAAGCGCGCGCGCGCCGTATCGTGGCGAGAGATGAAAAGGACCGATTATTTCAGAGTCCCGTAAAACAACGATGGTTTGTGCTCGTACAAATGCCTTGTAATCGAAATTGCCGAGGAAGATCATCCTCGATCTTCCTTCGAGAGATCAAATTTAAGTCGTGCGATGGAAGCCAGTAATAAGTGGTACTTCGAAAGTACTCGTCATCGTTGAATGTTTGAATTTATAGGTCTTCGATTTTTCCGCCTACATACATATTTAGATATCTTTAAATTGTTATAATTTAAAATCTTTATTTTCAAAATTTCTTGTTTCTTGCAGCTGTGCGTAGAGATGCAAAAAAGACCGTCTCTTTTTAATAGAAAAAAAACAGTTGAAAAAAATGTCTCTTTTCATTGAAAATTTGTTTTTTCTTTTTATTTTTTTAAACATAATATTATTTTTCTTTATATTTTTTTATCAACATAATAAAAAAACTAAAGTTCTTATATTTTTCATTTATTTTATTTCAAAAGTAATTTTAATGGATTAATGAGACTTTTGCGGCAAATTACATCAAACTCGACATGATTCGGATAACTTTCAATTAGATGCATAACAAAAATTTGTATTATGCATCTAATTGAAAATTATCCGAATTATGTCGTGTTTGATATCATTTTAACCGCAAAAATCTCATTAATGCATTAGAATTGTTTTCAAAAAGATAAAATAAAAGTATTAATTTTTATAAGATGCTTACATTCGTGAAATAGCCAATTGGAATGCCAGCTACATTTAAAATAATACTTTTGCGGCAAATTACATCAAACTCGATATGATTCGGATAATTTTCAATTAGATGCATAACAAAAATTTGTATTAATTAAAAATAGTAATTACATAACTATATAGCCAATTGGAATGTGAGCTACATTTAAAATAATAATGGCTAACTCAAATCTATCATCTAAAAAGTTAAAAATAATGAAAAATCAATTTGCAGTAATCAAATTATAAAAATATTAAATATCTGGAAAAAAACGAAATTTTGAAAAAAGACAAGGCTTGTTCTTTGTTTTTTTTGTATTTACATCTCCAGTTGTGGATTGTTCTCAAATTTGCAAGAACAAACTGATTTTATAATGAATTAAAATATATTGATACTTTATTTTATCGTCGGAGCTCTAATCCGTTAGGAATTTAGAATAGAATTTTTTATGCATTAATATATCCACACACACGCGATTGGAATGATAAAAATAGGCCAATTTTTATTAAACGGTAGAGAATTTTTTTTCATAGTCATGTCTGTCACATCACCTACGCGGTCTAGCCAAAGGAAATCAATGGCCCCGCTTTCACCGTTTGAGGGCGTTTTCTTCGGAAAAGTAATTCTCCAACGACCGGGAACGAAAGTGTACGCGATAATCCGCGCACGAGTCGCACGAAGTGTCGACGCATTTTCGATTCGTTTCACACGAGATGCACCGAGAGAGAAACAAAATGTGCCATTGCATGCGATCGCATACCGTGTATACAGTCTCAATCCCAAGCCAATTTCTTCAAAATTTTTAAATTACAAAAATTCATAGATTCGTTGTTTTTTTTTCTAAATTTTCCAAAATTTCGAGATTTATTTACATTGCAAAATTAAAATCCTAAAACTTCACGCCAATTCTGTAAAGTGTATTTCAAGAAATTTAAGAAAGATATATAAAAAGAGATTTTTTTTTAATATCTATTATGATTAAGGCACTTGTTGCAATACTCGTTCATGGCCCCTGACACTTCACGAGGTTTATTTTATACGAAGCAGTTTGTATAATATCTTCAGATGCTGTCATGTCTGCGTCATAATTTTTTATCCGTCGTCATTCTTATCATTTTTTATCAATTCTCGATTAACGGCGATCGGATCATGGCGCCCACAGCGTCATCTTTGAGGATCGATTAAGCGATTATCCCCCTTCTTGAAGGGGGACACGCGAGATTATCCGCTTCCTGGTTATGTTCAACAGTGATTATCCATCATTTTCCCAGGAAATTAATTAATACCGATGTTAGGAGAGAGCACTCGCGCCGGCACTCATCCACTTTCGTTCGGCATTATCGATCGCGGTTGAATCGATCAAGATCAAGATTGATTCTGACTGCCAGTTATACACAAGAGATATTCGATAAATCGATGATTGCGCTATTGTATCGAAAAGCTTTCGGTATATTACGTTAATGTAGTTGTGAGGAAAGTAAAGAGAAACTTCCCGTGCAAAGTGATTTATACATTTCAATCCAAAAAATTTTGTATTTTTCAAATTACTCGAAATTGCATATATTTATCCTAATTTAATTCAGATTATCAAAAATTATCAATAATTGAATTTTATTTAAAAGAGAGAGATAAATAAACCCCAAATATTCGTTTAAAATATCAAAAGTCTAAAAATTTAACTCGATGATTTTTCCTTCAAACAATTTTAATTTCATAATATTTTCTAATCAAATAAATTCACATATTTCACGTAATTATATTTGCTTGCAGTATTCCTCGATTATCGTTACGATAATATATCTACGACTAGCACGATAAAATGACGTGGTACTCGAATAACAGACATCGGGGATGCACAACCGGCGCAGCCTTAGGTGTTACAAAAATACTAGTGGCCGGCGGTTCAGGGTTAAAGGGACAATACTTCACGGTGAATTTTTCCAAGCGGCTCGGATATCCGCGAAACTCGCCGTAGCTTATACGTCCGCGGGCGTGCACGGCAATTATTACGGCGAAGTAGCCTGCATGAGTTATGGGAGAGATCTGCATTCTGCGGACCCTCCCCATAGGCTCTATTTCATATCGAGTGTTTAAATCTCCGCCCTCCATGGTTCCAGCGCTGTTTGTTGCATCTCTCTCTCTCTCTCTCTCTCTCTCTCTCTCCTTCTAAACCCCGCTGTTGTCCTCTACCCTCCCTCACCCCTTTATAGAGCTCGTGTATTTCTGTGACCGCTAGAATGCCCTCGGGAACGCTTGCGAGGCGCCATGATTAAGATTTTTCACGGATACCCTTGAATTAGAGTCCGGTTTTAAGCGCGAGAATATTTCACGGCGGATTTTTCCATCGCCATGCGCTGGAGCACGCGAGGAGAACTGATCAAGATTTAGATTCGCGTTTTGTACTCTGGGGTGAGCATTTCGCGCGCGAATCGGTGCCGCCCCTTGAGAGATAAGCCGATAGCACAAGCGAGAAAGGAACTTGGATAGGTCATTTGTTCTGAATAGCGATGCCTCGAAATTAGCAACAAATGGATGTAATTACTCACGCTTAATATTGGCAATTATTCTAAAAAAGAAACAAAAGGAAAAGAGATAAACACTTACCACTGGTCGAGCTGTACTCGCCGATGTATCGCCTCGTCAAGTACCGCACAACCACGGCTGCAACAAAGAAAAAAAAAACAAGATGAAAATTAGAAACTTGCACCTTGCTTTTTCATCACTTTATTTCGCTCACAAAGTTTAAGCTCCTTAAAACAAGCGGGTTTTTCAATTTTGACTTTCTCATAGAGGAAGATATTTCAAAATTTGCAAAAGTTACAGCGTGTACAGACATTTCTCAAAAAATACAAAATTTTATTAAAAATTAATCCTTTCACCGATTTTCACCAAATTCAATACCAACCATCCTTTAATAATACTTTATTTATGTAAAAAAGTTTAATCTGATATCTCAAAATTTGCGAAAGTTAGAGCGTATACAGATATTTCTCAAAAAATTCAAAATTTTATATAAAATGAACCTTTTCACCGATTTTCACCAAATTCAATACCAATCACTCTTTAATGATATTATATTTATTTTAAAAAATTTAGCTCGATATCTCAAAAATTGCAGAAATTGTACAATGTACATTCCGTATATACATACATAGACATTTTTTTTAAATATGATTTTTCAACGTTTTGGAATATTCTAAACACATTGGCATAGAAAATAGGAAAAAAATTTTGTCACGAAAACAAATCATAATATTTTTGTTTCCTTTATGAGGAAGCAAAAATATTATGATTAGTTTCAGAAACGATCTCTACGAATAATCGAGTAGCGAGCCCGGGAACGTACATCGAATCATAATTATGAGTAACGACATTAAAGGGTGTATTTATTTTTAGACTCGTCTCTGACAAACGCATCTTCGCGCGCAGGTGTTGAAACGCTATTAACTCATCTTCAACATCGGTTAATAAAGAAACCATAAATATATCGGAACGGGTTCTCTCGAAGGCTGCCGATAAATTTCTTGCTTTATAAATTTTGCACGCGAAACATGGTCTAGGATTCAGCATGTCGACGACGTTTCTCGCATCGTTGTCGTCATCGTCGTCGTCGTCGTTCGATCCTCGCAAGACTTATTGAGTACATATATTCGTGCCGTTCCGTACTGGTAGATACACCGTTTATAAATCTGTCGTCGAGTTTAGCTCGGCGACGACGACGACGACAACGACGACGACGATCGGGAGGGAAGGAGGGGAAAATATCACGAAGAGAGGAGAGGAAAGATAGAGACACGAACAGAAACGGAATGTAGAACTTCATTCGTAAACTATTTGCTGAGATGAGAGATAGACTACATATCTTCGAAATATTTCCGCGCAGCTGAACGATATTTCAGTGCTCTTCAACACGCAATCGCGAAGAGTCAAAATGAAATTTGATCCATCCGGAAAAAGAATCTTATTTTTAATTCATTAAAAACATTGTATATATATATCACATGCTTTATTTAGAAAAAAAAAAATATCTATATATTACAAAGATTAAATATAATATTAAAGCATAAAAAAAAATTTATTAAATTCTTGAAAAAAATTTCACACGCTTCTTTCATTGTACCTTGCACGTAAATTTTTACGTGCAAGGTACAATGAAAGAAGCGTGTGAAATTTAATAAATTTAATAATCTTTTCCTGCAATGACAACTCAACTCGCACGCTATCGTAATTAGCTGTATTTTTAATTAATTATGCAGTTAGAAATACGAATCTTCTGACGGGTTAAATTTTCAACGGTCCATGCAAAGACATCGTGAATCATTAGTACCACGCAGAAAGACCCACGTAATCGAGTGTACCATGCAGAAGACCCATTCTCCCTTAAAGATGACTGTCATCAAACCGAGGCGACGTCACGCGTAATCCTATACACGCCGCGCGAACCGGAATAATTGATGTGGACACGAGAATGTTGCTCGTAATGCCTAATGGTCCCAACAGTGATCTGTGCCAAGCGTCCGAGTCTAATGAAAGCACGTTCCCCGTCTCACCAAAGCCCAAACGCGAGAGAAACCCGACACTCGTGCCAGATACAGGACGTTTATAAAGTTCTTATCTTCGTAAGGCTCTCGGACGAATGTGACAATATATCGGGGGTCCATCGTATTTATAAAGAATAAGAATAATGGAGGGTTCGCGCAGAGCGTAAGATATCGATGCTGATGGAGGGGCGGGGCCCCTCTCATTCAATAAATAATATTTTTCAAGACAAGACTCACACAAATTCGTGTAGTTACACGTTGAAAGCTGTTAACGAACTGCGAGAAATAGGTGAAACACATTGTTGACAAAATATCCATGATCGTGTATCTATCTCGTAAATGTAAACAAACACTTTTTCCACGTCTGCTCTACAACAAATACAACGTACACAAACTTTACTTTTTACAATTTCACTAATATTATTTTATAATGCTTGAGAAAAGCATTAAAATTGTTAAACTTTAATTTATTATATCTCCTAAACCAATGCTGTCCCCCATTTATTTCTTGCGGGGAATTACTCAGAAGAATCTCCCCTACAATATTTAAGTAGCGATAAAATTGGAGGTGTGTTAACTTTTATGTAGTTTCACCCCAAAAAAAAAAAAATCGAAAAAGTCATATGGCAAAATTCCAATTAATACATATCAATCAATCTTCAAAGGAGAAAGGAATTCTTCGATCGATTACGTAAGTAGTCACGTATAAAACGAGGAAGAAAAAAAAAACGCGCGAAGGGGAGAATGAGCAGGAAGAAGAAGAGAATGAAAAAGAAGAATAAGAAGAAGGAAGCCGATTAAGTCACCTGCGGAGAATTGTGTGTAATGTGGAAGATTCAACGGTACGAGCAAAACGCAGTCATTCGCGGTGCCATTCGCCGACGTGCGATGGTTGCCAACGCGGGATTCTATAGATAGATCGTTGGAGGATAAGCCGCTTGGTGAACGTAAGAAAATAGTAATTACGACCACGATCGTCGTGGATAAGAAGGGGAATAAAGAGGAAGAGAAAGAGAGGGAGAGAGAGAAAATAGAGGATAAAAAAAAGGTCAGGATGCAATCAACCAACCGCATCCTCTTGTCTCGTGGAAATTTTCTTTCTATTCCAAAGATAACACTATCTTTTATTGAAACAACTTTTATAATCACTTACATCTTAATTTATCAAAATTATCAAGTAATTAAGTTTTATACTACAATGGAATTTCTGTATTTAATCTTTTCAGTCGTTACAGAAGCAATTATTTCAAGCAGTTTTAATTTTTCGTTACAAAAAAATATACTTTTTATCTATTATAAGGAAAAAAATTATTAGCAAAAAAACATTTATTTCGAAACAAAGAGATAACGAAATATAATTTAAAAGACGAGACTAAATTTTAATTTGATTGTAATGTAAAATTTTTTATATCTCTCTAAAATTATAACATTGAAACGTTAAAATGGTAATAAAAGTCTGATTGATCGTACAGAGAAGGAACCCGTTAAAGTGCAGCTTCTACGAGATACTATTCTTTTTTCGTCTGTCCGCTTTTCTTGTGACACGGCAAGTCGTTCAGACCAAATGAATTTATGAACACGTCTCGGCTCTTGGTAGCGGACCTCCAATTGTCTCCTCAATAAGCGTTAACGCAGATAAATGGCTATGGCTAACAATCTCGCGTTTCTCGCAAGAGACCACGATTCTTTTTACGATTCTTTACCATTAGTTATTTTTAAGGCGCGAAGAATCTCGACTCCTTGTGTTAAAAATATTTCAAGTTCGAAAGAGTATGTAATTTAAATACTACACGTATTTTTGTAACTCAGTTAATTTTTGTAATTCAGTTAAATTAGTTCGATTAAATCGAGTTTTAGTATCGTAAAAAATAAAATTCGAATTATCAAATAGTTCTCCAGAGAGGCTTTTCCTTTGCTTCTTAGTCAAGCTCAAATTACTTCGCTTAACGCGACGTTCTTTCATCGACGGATCACCGTGTATATATCAGACAAAGGCGCGATAACGGAGGGAGTATGTTACCGCGTAAACTCGGAATCCAGGATCGAACACCACGAGTAACAGGACGGATGTATCGGATGTCGAGATCTCGCGCAACATGCTGCTGCAACCGTGCGGGATTTTTCGTGGCGCGACGCAACCCCCCTCCCCCATTCACGCGGGGCGATATCCGATAACGCGCGTTCACGGAGGTCCTTATTATACCCAGCGGGGTCCCACGAAGGACTTTTAAGGATTCCCTCCCGTCGAGATAGCCGCCCCCCCCCCCTCGCATCCGCCGCGTGAGAATGCGCCGTCTTCGTCGCAAAAAGTGGGACATTGTCGCGTGTTTTGCAGCGATCACGTTCCAGCCTGGCAATATAACGTTCGGATACAGAAGCAAATTGCGTTTGAATATACAATATTAACAAATTATGTCCTAATTTAAAAAACAAAATTTTTTTTTTTTCATAAAAAATAATTTTCTTTATGAAAAAGAACAAGCCTCGTTTTTTTCAAAATTTTGTTTTTTTTTCAGATATTTAATATCTTTATATTTTGATTATTGCAAATTGATTTTTCATTATTTTTAACTTTTTAGATGATAGATTTGAATTACGAAGGTGATGCTGCAAAACACAGGTTATTAAAATTCGCAATATTATATCTAGAGATATTATACCTATTTTCTATAAATAGAAAAAAATAAAATGTGTTTTTTTCCATAAAAAACAGTCTTTTTATGAAAAAAAACCTCGTCCTTTTTCAAAATTTTGTTTTTTTTTTCAGATATTTAATATTTTTATATTTTGATTGCAAATTGATTCGTCATTATTTTTAACTTTTTAGATTTAGATGATAGATTTGAGTTAGCCATTATTATTTTAAATGTAGCTCGCATTCCAATTGGCTATATAATTATGTAATTATTATTTTTAATTATAAAAAATTTTTGTTATGCATCTATAATTGAAAATTATCCAAATCATATCGAGTTTGATGTAATTTCCCATAGAAGTCTTATTAATCTCATTAAAATTACTTCCAAAAAAAAAAATATATATATATATAAAATATAAGAAATTTAATTTTTTTTGTTATGTTAACAAAAAAAATGTAAAGAAAAATAATATTATGCTTAAAAAAACAATTTAAGAAAAAAACAAAATTTGTTTTTTTTCAATGAAAGAAAACATTTTTTTCAACAATTTATTGCTATTAGAAAAAAAACGTTTTTTTTTTTTTACATTATTGATTACACATTCGAAGATGTGAAAATGACTGAAAAATTTCAGAATCTAGGGAACATTACTGAATCTCTAACAACAATCTTAAAAAGATATAATCAAGATTATCAAAAAGATCCAACTGTCTGAGAATGCACAACAATGGGAGAATGCAACTTCGAGGAACAATTACAATTGAAAGATGCAAAATTGTAAAGAGAAAACCGAAAGAGGAGAAAATTAGAGATGAGAGAGAGAGAGAGAATAAAATAAAATGGAGAATGCGCTTCTTCTTTATTAAGGTGGCCAGTCCTAGCGGTTATTAATAGGATTTATATTCGAGGTCGGCGAACCGCCTTATCGCCGTTCGTTTGCTCGCTTTGTATGCGTCGCGCGACTGTCGGGTTAACTAATGCAACGTATTATTCCGCGGACTATGCGTATCCATCTTAACGGCACTTTCATTCAATGCGTTGCGTCGGTGCACTATTAGACAACGCGCAGAAATTACACGCTGTACGGCGACGCGATATTAGTATCGTCCACGATAATGAACGTCCTTCCGACGTGATTCAATATTTCACGATGTTGCGCCATAATCGACCTGCTCTTTCTTTTCTCGCCGGGCGAATTATTTATTATTCGTCAGCGAGCGCGCGAATTAATATTGGTTTCGACGCGAAAACATATTTCCGCAAGAAATCAATATCGCTTTCATAAACTTATATCTTGCGATCCGTTTTAATTCCGCATGAAATAAACGCGCTAAACTTTAAAATTAATTTGGTTAATGCAATCATAATTTTATTATTAAAACTCGAAAAATAGGGAACACGCTAACAGTTTAAAATCGATAAAAATAAATGAGGGATTATTTTTTCAGCAGAAACGAAATGAGATAAAAATGTAGGGAGATTCACCTGACTTGCCGACTCTGGGGCCGCCGAGGACGACCACCTTGATCCTGTTTACGTTTGTCATCAGCTGCGTGGATTAAGTGTCATTCGGACTGGCATCACACATGGCCTCCGCGACGGATGCACCAATTACATCACTTTGCACTTTATCCTCCGCTGCACTCACATTCAGGTCCTCGTCAGGACACTTATTCAATCGCACTCGCGACTATTTCGACGACACTTGCTGCGGAATTAATTATTATATCGATTGGTCAATCATCAGCTTGAGTCATCACTGTTCGATTCCGCGACGATTACGATAGTTACGGGAATCATCAATCGCTAATTATTTTCCGGAACGCTCCATTAAATTCCATCCTTAATAAAACGACCGATATATGACCTTTTCTTATTTCGATATTTAATTGTCGCATCGATCAATTATCGACTCGGACGTTGATTAATTCCACAAAGATGAAATTATTTAAAATGTCTTGAACGCGGCGTCAACTTGGAATCTTCTGTTAACGATGTGGGCGATAAACAAAAGAAGTTATAAAAAATATAAGTGGAGAAGATATCAGTCTTTGCTCGATAAGTAAAGATGTTTAAGGCTACTCTCGTTCTTCACTTCGACTAGGTATTTAATTGCAGTTATCAATTAATCATTCGAAGAAGTCGTCGACGGTTAGATACGGAACTATTAATGGCAACGGTAATTGGAACCTTCCCCGTTAATCCCCGACTAGGAAGAAATCGTGGCGGTTGATGAATAGACAGCCAATAGCTCTCGCGTCGTTTTCTAATTGGTGAACGAACGTAACTGCGATTACGCGAATCCGCCTGGCACGTTCGAGCGCGATTCTTCCTCGCACGTGATCCTTAATGACGCTATAAAACGCTCATTGAGTAACACAATCCCTTTTCCGGTCGTGTGCGACGTTGATTCTTGCGAAACACTCCGTGATTCAAGTCGAGAGCTCGCGGCTTCGATTCGAGTTTGATCGAGACAGAAACGGCAGCCAATTGTCGCAATCGCCCACCACACGTGGTCCCTCGTCTAGAGATCGCAACCTGTCTCCTCGAGTCTCGACGACTGTTTATTAACGACGAACGACCGTCGCTATCTTATCACGATTCCCTGGTATTTTGAAGATGACGAGCGTGACGCAGTTCATTTCTCTCTCCTTCTTTTTCCTTCTACGAACGAGACTCTCGGCGAACTTTAGTTACAGAAAATCTTTGTGCTCGGCTCTGTTTTCCGACTATTTAACGATAACATTAACTGGTCGATTATACTTGAGCTCTTTCGCGCAGTATTTCCGAAAGACTAACACCGCTACTCGAGGTATTTATTTTTACAAGTGGAAGCCGAGGATTTCAGACTGATTTGCAACTGTCAAGTTTCTCTGAGCGAGTGACGATATATTTCACTGCTTTAAACATTAATCGAGCGTCAGTCGCAAGTTCATTACAAGAGGATTTAAAGCGTGCACTTCTTCTCTCTTCGATTTTTTCTTCGTAAATTCCATCGTTTCCTTATTCCACTGCTCCGCTTATTCCGTACATCGAACCTGACGGCACGCGCTCGCGAACTCGGAATTACAGAGCTGGATCCCCCTCGTTCGCACCTCGAAAGCGCAAGAAAACGCTTTCGAACGTGCCCGCTGCTCGTCCCGACGCTACGCTGCGAATAACAACACAAGCAGCGATTCGAGAAATGCCGTCTCTCTGGTTCCATTTATAACGGGTCGTCGGCCTTCCTCCGCGTCTTCTAGCTTGGCGCCGCCGACACGTCGGCGATTACGAAAAAAAGACAGGCACGACACGCGCGAGCGCGCGTACGCACACGCGCCCGGATCTCGCACGCGTGTTCTCGCGAGCGAGCGAGCGAGCGAGCGAGCGAGCGAGCGAGAATTGCAAACGACGACCGCGAGAAAAGTAGGATGCACGTTCATCCCCCGCGGCGACGTGCGGGCCTTAGTTTTTTTTTCGTATTTTCGTTTTTACGCAGACGTAGCGGGCTAATTTTAACGCTTCGAGACGGTGAGTTTAATTAAAGAAAAGATTGAATCATCTCGGAGCGCGAGTATTGTTTGTCACCGCAAGATTCACCGGAGTATTTATTTTGATTAATATTTTTATTATTAATAAATTTATTATAATTATAATTATTTATTATAATTATAATTATTTATTATAATTAATAGATTTATAATCAATTAATTATAAATTTTCTCTTCGCTGATATATATATTATATCTGATAATTAAGAAAATTTGCGCAAATAATGATCTTATAATCTTGTAATTGCAATATTTTTCATTGATAATGTCACACATGTTTGATTAAAGTTGAGAGTTTGAGTAGAAATTAATGTGACAACAAGCAAATAGCGTAACGGGAAAGTAATTGAGAGAAAAGCAATTAATATAGCGGGGAAATGATTGACGTAATGAGAAGAAACATTTAACGTAATGAAGGAGGCATGAAAATTAACGGAGAAATAATTTATACGCGGGATGATAAAAAAAAAAAATGTGCGCGAAAAATACTTGAATCTCTCTTCGTCGGAAATCTTGTCGTTTACTTCTCATTCTCGCGCCTCTCTGCTACGCTTTAAATAATACCCTAGATTAGATAACGTTGTCCGTATCACGTATTAAATCTCCTTATCTTTCAAGGCGCACCACGACGTTGTTATTCACGTGAGATTTGTGTAAAGTGGGCTTATCGCGAAATTCTGTCACTATGTTGAACAACAAAGCGCGATCTTAAAATTGTGACACGTGTCGAATTAAATTAAATACAAATCGGGCAAATCGTAAATCGTAAAATTAAATAATAAATTCGCACTTAAATTCATTATATGTGTGACTTATGAGGAATTATAACTTTATATTAAGCAATTCAAAAAAAAAACTAAGAGAGTAAAAAAGACACACAAAAAAACCTTACGTATTTTTTTTTTTTCATTCAGAAATCCGGTAAATGTAAGCATAATTCACCGAAACGTGATTATAACACGTTTCAGCGATATCAATATTTATTGCGATAGCGTATTCGTGAAAAAATCGCGATTCAGCGTTTTCATAAAAACAACAAATATAAAGTTATTAATGACTGCATTAAGAATGCTCGATTGCAAAATAAATGTCAAATACACATTTCACCGTATAAAATTCTACTCTATTTTCAACATTCATGCAAAGTTCTTTTTATATAAAATTATCTCGTTTCGCATTTCATTCTTGAAATAAACTAAATCAGATTGAGTCACTTTAAATCAAATCAAATAATGTCAAATAAAATAAAATTATATTTATTATCGAACAAAATGATATTTTCTAAAAGAATAAAATTTCACGTCATATATTCACAGTCAAATATTTTACTATCACTTTAATCGAATATTGATATATTATTTTGGATCTCATCCTTATTTAAATTTTGTCATATATATCGCGGATGTTTCTACTCGTCAACTATGCAAGTGGAAATTGACTCGTTACTCGGGATAGAAGAGCGCAATCGGAAACCGCGTATCAGTTTCCTCATGTAGCCACTCCACGACGTCTAAATATTAGATGACACGCAGATGTACCGGTTGTTTATTCAACGAAATTGATTTTCTCCGTCGAATATAATCGCGATGCGTCATTTTCAAAGATTCCCCACCAATTAATTCAGAGATTCTACTGATATCGATCAGCGGTAATCAACTAAAATGTCTATCAGTGTGTATATTACAGCGAATATTAATAATCTAGACAAAGACAGAGAATCAATTAAAAGTGCGGTGAGAATTAATCAACGTTGGAAGAATCGATCGATAATTTCGTTTTATCCGTACCGAAATCTCTATCTCGCATTTATATGCATGCGATTTTAATTAACGTGTCCGGAGCTTTAGCATAAATTAATTCTGTCGATTAGCAACAATCGTAAAAATTGCATTAACCGCATCGAGGAAGGCCGACACAATTCTTGGATCAAATAATTCATTTTTACTTGTCGAGCATTCGCCAAGACACTTCACGCACGCCGGTACATTAGATTAATTAAATCGCGCACGCATTAATAAAGGAATTAACTTTCGTAATCGACTTCAAAGGGCGCGATTGACAATCTTTAATCCTTAATTATGGCGAATTGAAATCTCTTGGCGAATATTTTAGAATAATTACCTGATGTATCAACGATTATCGACACTTGCACAATTATGATTGAAATCTGACAGTCGTAGTTTGATAAACAAAAATCTGTTACAACTCGTCGATCGTAATTCAGTTGCCATAGCACGTGAAGTAAATGTTTGAAAATTTGAAGCACTGAAATCCGAGTACTCTCCAAAACGCTCTCTCTCTCTCTCTCTCGAGCACTACTTCACGATTACAATTTCAGGATCACATCTCGATGTCCCGACACTCGACACCTTCACAACTTGTCGATCGAAGTTCGCACTCTACAGCTCGACGACGAGCACACAGATGGAAGATAAGTAGAATTGCGAAATCCCATATACACACACAGGTAAGGTATTATTTTCAGAGAAATCACAGGAGACGTTGACGTTTTCACGGTGAATTTCGTACCGCGCGGAGCGTGTGTACTCAACTTGCACTCGGGTCGCGCGCGAAAGACAGAGAAAGAGAGAGGGAGAGAGAGAGAGAGTAAAATAAGCGACCGCTTACCACTCTCATCGAGCGCTCGCCGGCGAATGCGCGGCGCTCGCGACCGCCTCGTCTAATATGCACTTGGCTGCGCTCGCTCTCTGGACCGGCAGCGGCGGCGACGACGACGACGACGAGGAGGACGAGGATGACGACGACGACTGCACGCTTCTTTCGTACGCCGCGTACTGTTGCGCGTTCGCGTTGCGACTCGCTACAAGCCGACTGCCGTGTTAACAGGTAAGCGTGCACGAGCGCGTGTTCACGTGAGGAAAGAGGAGAGAGGCTCTCGGAAGGGGAGAAAGAGAAAGATGCATATATTACACTCTCGCGTACGGTCTGCGAGATGCGGCGAAGGTGGAAGTGCGAATTTATTTCCCTCAAGTATATATTATGTTTATAAAGACGTCGAATTATTTGCAATACGGCTTCCCTTCGCGGAAATATAGAGCGAACAGGATATATATAATTTTTGAAGAAAGACAATTATAGTTTTAATTCTAATTCTCTCTCTCTCTCCCTTTATTTTCTTAAGAAAGTGTGTTATATTCAGGGAATACGAATAATTTGATTTCTGCTTTTTTGTTTGAAATAAATAATATTCTTATTTTATGAACTAGAGGATTGACTAATAATAAAGTAGGCCAATTAATAAATTTATTTATTTAATATTTTAATAATTATATTTTCAACGATATGTCATTCCGTTCTTCTTCTCTGTAAAAATTTAACGGACAAGTTATATTTAAAATATCATCGATCGTTTTGAAGGAAAGTGTTACAAGTATGACTCCGTGTGTAGAAAATCAACAACTCGCGTATCCGTGGCAACCTGACGAATCAAAGGCCGCAGATCCAGGAGAGACAACCGTAGGAATAGTAATTGAACGTGATTGGCATCCGCCTTCAGAGATGCAACAAATCCGGTTCGATTGCTACTCAACTCTCAACTGTTGTCTCCGCCGAACGCATAGAGCGACGAAGGTAAACTGCACACACGGATTTGCCGTGTAATCTTCGGTTCGTTCCCCGCATTCGTTATCATGGGCAACGAGGAGGTAGATATAATTAGCGTGGCGCAGAAATCCGAGAAGAAAACTCTGTTGGAGAGGTACAACATACCGGTCGAGAATCTCTCGTACGAATTCATATCGCGATGCACCGATGGAAAAACACTGGAGCGAATTGTTCTCATATTGCGGTGAGTCTTTTGAAATCCTTATGTAGCCAGATTACATAATCCATTGTTTTATAAAACGTCTAGGCATTTTATAAAATGCGGCCACATTTTTAAATCATGGTTGAAAATGAAATATTTTACTATCTGGCTAAGAATTTTAGTTTTTTTATAGAACGCTGCCTTTTTATAAAACGCTTTTATAAAACGTTTTTACCGACCTTATTTTATATTATATTTGATAAAATAGTCATAATAAATGTTTTTTATTTTTTTCACGCTTATATTTCTTTTTATTATTTGTTTTCAAACATTATTTTCGAGAATTTTATTTATGTATGTTACTTTTATAAAACTTTAATTGTAATAAATACAACAAGTATTCATAAATACAATAAATAATAAGTAAAACAAGTGTTCATACTAGCTTTTCTCATTTAAAAATACATATAATTATCTATTAATATTATAACATAATTATTAATTTTCTATAAATGGCTGTTCTACAATGACAGTTCATGAAATGAACCAACCAGAATCTAAAACGATGTACAAATCGTTGCTTGTCATAAAAAAACTAAAATTCTTAACCAGATTGTAAAATATTTCATTTTCAATCATGATTTGAGAATGTGGCCGCACTTAAAATGCCTAGACATTTTATAAAACGACAGATTATGTAATCTGGCTACGACACATACAATATTAATACTAATAATAATATTCCGATGTCAAAAATTCTTTTACGTCCATTAATCAGATTCAAAACATTGATCTCTCGAAATTTTGTCGAAATATTATTACTTTTATCTTGAAACTTGCCATTTTGCAGTATCTCTCGGCTAGTCCTCGGTATACATTATGATAGATACAGCGTATATTGATAATTTTTAATCTTTACGAGATCTGCAATCTTGCTTAAAACGCCATTAAACCCGTTATTTTCCGGCACGCGTTTATTAACGATTTGTCATAAACATCTCCATGTGCGCGCGGTTCGATACCAGTTCTGGCGAAGAAGGAGTATATCCAGATTTGATAAAGCACGCGGAGAAACGTCTCATTAGCATTAAACCGACAAGCGTTATTTTGAGGAAAGCGGAGCCAGTTTTGAGGCGAAATATGTTGAATGCGGACGAACGGCAGGAAATCGACGACGACATCAGCAATTGGACGTGCGAGATGCAATCTCGCGAGAAGGACTTGAACAAAGGAAAAGCCGTCCTTGCCAACGATCCCTCCGCACAACCGGACATTCGAGAGATTAAAATGGATATTGCCAAAGTACGTTATTATATTATAATATGTAGTTATATTGTATATAATAAACTATAAAAATATATCTTACTGAAATATTGTCTTCCTTTTCAAAATTGCTTTATATTTATATTTTTATTCTTAACATATTAGTCAAATCTCAAATGTTTATTAATTGGTACAAAATTAAATGTAAATATCTAAATAGTTTATGGAAAATTGTAAGTAAATATTTTATTATAATTTATATTTATATTTATAATATAATTTATTAAATAATTTATATTTTATTTCTAATTAATTAATTTATTTATTTGTTTATTTATTCTTAACATGTTGGTCAAATCTCAAATGTTTATTAATTGGTACAAAACTAAATGTAAATATCTAAATAATTTATGGAAAATTGTAAGTAAATAATATAAATCGAAGTTTATGTAATTCATGCGTTTACGCATTTACAGAATAAAAAGACGAGGAGCAACGAGAAAAAGCGCGATAAGCCCAAACGAATATCCTCGTGTGATTATACGGCTTGGGATAAATACGACGTCGACACGGAAATAAACAGGATAGACTTGCAGGACGAGCAGCGACAGACCGAAATGAAGAGAATCCAAAAACGGCAAAAGGAGCTGAATAAAATGAATAAGATGGCACATAAAGCGACCGTCGATAAACGTAAGTTTGCAATTTTTGTTACATCACGACGATTATTAAAAGAACGAAAAACTATCTAGTAGAATCATCGAATCTACAGGGTGTTCCAGATAATCTCGTTTCTCTAATTAAACTTGATAGAATTAAATCCCTTTATTAATTTTGATAAAATTAAATCCCTTTATTAATTTTGATAAAATTAAATCCCTTTATTAATTTTGATAGAATTAAATCTTGTATTAAATCTTTTAATGTATTGATAGTTTCATTAACCAGCACGGAAATAAACGTAATGGCGGAGCAAGAGAGAGAAAAGGGAAACGAAGCCTTCAGAGCAGCTGATTACGAGGAAGCCCTTCGGCATTACAACGCTAGCATTGAAATAGAATCGAATCTAAATGCTTACAACAATCGCGCCATGACATGTAAGTCAATTTCACTAAATTAATAATTACTTATACATTAATAATTACACGATAAAAGGACATTGCCCATATATTTTTCTTGTATCTTTTAAATATTTTTGAATAAAAAAACTATGTAATATTTCCTAAATTAAATATTTCCTAAATTATTAGATAATAAAAAAATTAAATTAAAAGAAAATAATGTTTTATATATACTAGAAATAGGATATTTCTCGTAGTTTTAATAGTCCTTTAAAATATTTACCTAACTTTGTATTATATAATAAGATCATTGAATTTATATTGCATTCAGTTATAAAGTTGCAACGTTATGAGAAGGCGCTTAACGACTGCAACACGGTGCTTACCATGGATTACAAAAATGTCAAAGCGCTACTTCGTCGAGCATTATCCTTGGAGCATCTCGAAAAGGCGTACGAGGTATAAAAATTACACGCGTAAACGTTCATATTAATTTATAATTCGTAATATTTAATGTCGAGAAATACAAATTTTACGGCACGATAAATACAAGGTTCTCCAAAGAGCTGAAGAGAAACTTTAATCGAAATTTGCATTCGTATTCGTTATAACTAATGCGTTTCGTAATTTTATATAAATAGCTGATATATAATTTCATATACAGGCTCTGGCAGATTACGAAGCTGTTTTAAAATTGGAGCCAACTAACAAAACGGCGATATCTAGCGTGAACAAGCTGAGAAAACCATGCGAATCGAAAAAAATAAGGTAGGGATTTAATTTTTTACATCCAACAGCTTGCGCTGAGCGAATTTAGAATAATAACTCTCGACTTCAAAGTCGAGAGATATTATATTACTGTCGTTAATTTTTCTACTACATTTCCGCAGGATGAACATCGAAGAAGAAAATATCAGCGGCGACGAAGACAAGGCCAAGCGAGGAATGAAGTCGAAGAGAACTGTGGAAACGAACGGCATCAAGTGTCCGAAACAGCGTGTTAACAACGATATATGTTATTGCGACAGAGCGCCAGGCTCGTCGCAAAGTGTTGCGACGAAGCCGCACTTAAAAGCGAGTTACTGCGTGGAAGCCGAGAGTAACAAAGCTGCAACGGCGGATGCTGCGGCAAATAAAAGCAGCGGGAAAACAACACGCGACTCTTGGCGCGGCAATAAATTATCACCTGTTGCAAAGGATTTCGGCGGCAGAAATAAAACGACGAAATCGTATCTTGACGCTATCAAGAGTGACGATATGTTTACGATTTCACGCGAGTCATTTCCCGGACAACGTGGCCTACAAGGTAGATTGGAAAAGTCCATTTTTTCGTGCGTGACGTCACCTCGGAAAATGAAACCCTCCACTGTTATCATTGAAGAACTTCCGAGCGACGAAGGAAGCGAGGTACCGAGGAAAATTATCGATCCTGACGATACGAAGGTGGAAACGAAGAAGAAAACGAGTCCGATTGAAAAGAAAAATATATCGACAAAGAAATCGTGTCTGAGTAAAAACAAAGGATTAATCTCTCTTGGAAAAGAGAACAGAATTAAGACGAGATATTATTTGTTTTTAAAATTTAAGGATTTGCTATTTTTTTATCTTTGTTAATAGTTGTTCTAATTTAATTTCTATTCATTATAATATCTGTATGAATATCTTGACATGTTATGTAATTTATTAAAAATAGGATGCCAAGATTTTATCTAGACTTTATTATACTGTTATAAATAATTATTTAATATATCATAAAAATATTCAATTCACAGTTATAGGCAATAAATTGGATGCAACAATGCTCAGTCTCATGTTGCGTTGCTGTGAGCAACAATTCTGTACCCCAGAAGACACAGAGCTACTCACGCATCTACTGTATTCTTTAAGTCGATTAAATAGATTTTCCATCATTTGCATGTTTATGGATTCCAAGGATAAAAAAGGTAACGTGAAAAGAACAAAGGTAACATATGTATATAGTCTCTATTTTAAATCATGCATGAAATAAAATATATATTTTTGCAAAAATCTCTAATTGATTCAAAATCTATTTAATTCATAAATTTAAATATAAATCTATTTATTTTACAGCTCTAGAAAATATATTACGTTTTCTGGAAAAAGATGATTCATCCAAAGTCTCACAATTACGTCAGATTTATGTTACTTGAAGACCACGTTAGTATAATCGAATATATAAGAATATATAAGAATATATATAAGAATCTTGAATAAGTAGTTATTTTTTAAAATTATTTAAAAATATTCTTTATACATTAATTTTAATATTATATATTAACTTTAAAAGCAATTTTTCAAAATAACGAAAAATACGAGAACAGAATTAAGACGAGTTTAATGCCGAATAAAATTCAGATAGTTAACGAATGTGAGAAACCGAGAAAAAATATCGATTCTAGCGAAATAAGAATAGAAATGAAGAAAAAAGCGAAGCCAAAAGAAGACACGCCAATAAAAAAATCAGATTTAGATAAGAATAACAAAATTATTTCTCCTGAAAACGAAAGCAAGATTAAAACGAGTGTAACGTCAAATAAAATTATGTCTAATGAATATCAAAAAGAAAACGAAAAATTGGAAATCGAACTTCAGGTATGATTTAAGATCTCAGAAAATATTGTATAATTAAAAAGGAATGAGAAATAAATAAATAAATATATATATATAATTTTTTTATATAATTTATGTACTTTATATAATTTTTCAGAAATTGGAAAATGTCGAATCACCTTACGAATTTTTACGTCTGTGGCAATCTCTGAAGGACAATGCTAATTTGAAATTACACGCGAAACTTTTGAGGTGTATAGCACACGAAGACATGAATAAAAGTAAGTTTTATAAAGTGATATTAATTATAGATATTAAATATAGATATTAATTAATTAATATCAATTAAT